GGGAAGAAGAACAAACTGGGGAGGAGGGTAGAGAGAATGGTGCAGCAATGAAGGAATGAAAACCCAAAATCCCTGTAAATGTTCATTAAAACTAATAAAATTTAATAATAATTAAAAAAAAGAAAGATCTAATTATCTCCTAGTTAACCTTTGAGGACTCAGCTTAACATATTTTTCTCTTTTTCTTTAGGACCCCTTCTTCGTCACTAAGTTGGATTTTTTTTCTTTTCAGCAACGACACATGATAACTTTGTGCATAGAAGGTACTCTGTGTCTTCCGGCCTAGTGGCAAGAAGTTACACTACAATCATGAAGTTACATCGGAGAAAGATCTCTTTCCATGTAATTAAATGCCTCTGAAAACTGCTGGGGGTCAGCTATGGGTCAGTTCTGACTCCGTACACAACAACAAATCTTCCTAAGACCCCAAATTGCATTTGCCTCATTCATTGGGTGGGGATCCAACTGGTAAATGGCCAATAATATTGGCTAAATGGAAAAAAGAATATAATCAGTAAACACACTCAGTATCAATCTTGGGCTATCGCTTTATAATGTATGAAAGCACATTGTGATATCTTGGAGCTCTGCTAGTGTAATGAATTGTGTGCAGGACTATCAAACGCTGGCAATTCCAGTCCATCAGCTGCTCTCTTCAGAAAAGATTCCCAGCTTGGACACCTGATGGAGGGTCTCCATCAGTGGGAACAGACTTAAAAACAGTGCATTTGGATTCTTTTTAAAAGTGCTATAGAGTCCCGGTGGCACAACAGTTAAATGTTGAGCTGCTAACAGACAGGTCACTGGGTTGGAGAGGATGCAGACAGAGTGCTCCTTGGAAACAAAGGCAACAAAGCTTCATCTCACATCCTTTTGGTTTGTTAGTAGGAGAGAACATTCCTTAGAGACATGCTTGGAAAAGTGTAGAGTCAGTGAGAGAGAGGAAAACCCTCAATTAGATGTACTGACACAGTAACAGTAGTAATGGGCTCAAGAGTGTCAGAGATGTTGAGGATAGCACAAGATAGGAGTTCAGATCTGTTTACAAGGTCACTATGAGTCACATTCCACAACAGTGGCTCTTCTGGAGAAACTGGCAACCTGCTCTCATAACTATTATAGCCTAGGAACTCTATGTGGCATTTCTGCATTGTCCTCTGTCATGTTCTGGTGGCTTAACCACAGGTTAACCCACAGGGGGTGCTTCTCTCACAGTTCAAATCTACCAGTAGTTCTGCGGAAAAAAAGATGAGCAATCTCTCATGTGATTTACAGCTTCTGAAAACCCAAGGGAGGTTAGTTATGAATTTGAATTTGATAAGTTGGAACAGATATGAAATCATACAATAACCAAGTATCATAAAGTGATTAACTTTTTCATTATTTACTAACCTCTATTTGTGGAATTCTCAAATTGGAAATTAAGTCCCAACGAGGTGCTCCATTTTTGTCATATCCACTAAAACCAAATCCTGCAGCATTATTAATGGCATCAGCTTTTGAAAAACAATTAAAAAAAAAGCATTAATATATGTAACAAATGGCCTTCTCTTAGACAATTACGTATTATATACTGTGATCATTTATTCTTAATCAATAAAAGTAGATTATACTTTCTAGCAGAAGTTATAAATATTAACATATGCAATGAAAACAAGTGCCCCATTAGGGATGATTCAATTAGTTAACAAAATATTAAGAATGAAAATATTAAGAATGAGTTGAAGACAGGTGAAATTCAAAAGAGCTGAAGACAAATGGGCTACAGATGCAGACCTAATACAGGAAGTAATTTCCCAATATTGAATTATAGAATACATTGAACACAGCTGAGTATTCTCTGCCATCTATCAAAGAACTAAAGGGATGTTCTACCCTGGTAAGTTGTGTGTTCTTTGTATCACCTTTATTATAAGCATGAATCTGTGAGAAATGATATTTTAATTTTTCTCACTTTCATTGTTCATCCAGATTCATTCTATTAATGTCTTCAAAATTTGTTTTCTAGTCCTTTATATTGTAATGCTGATTTATTTTTGCTTTACAAATCTGATTAAGCAGTAAAGAAAGCTTCTGCCTCAGATGATTCCCTTTCCAAGCAACTAAAGAATGGGTGACTATCTGTCAAGACTTGAGATTAAACAGATAGAAATCCATTAAAACCTAGCAAAATCCTACATGGATATGTACCCCTAAATAGTTTTATTCCTTATTAGTGCCTTTTAACAAACTGTCAAAGACCTCTTCAAAGTACTGAAGAGCAGTAATGCCAGTCTGGAGACTAAGGTGCACCTGATATGTGCTATGCATCAGAAAGCTGGATAATGACTAGGGATGACAGAAGAAGAATTGATGCCTTTGAGCTGTGGTGCTGGAGAAGAGTACTGAATGCACCATGCATTCCTAGGAAAACAAACAGGTTTGTCCTGGAGAGGGTGAAGACAGGTTGCTCCTTGGAGGCAAGGATTCCGAAGCTTCGTCTGACATACTTTGGACATGTTGCAAGGAGGGACCAGTCCTTGAAGGGGGACGTCATGCTTGGGAGGGTAGAGGGACAGTGCAGGAGAGAAGATTGATTGACATGAGGTGGATTGATTCAGTAACTGGGGTAATGGGAGTAGGTATATCAGAGACAATAATATTGGCACAGGATAAAGCAGGGTTTAGGGCTGTTGTGCATAGGGTCACTATGCAAGCAACTTGACAGCACAAACAAACAACAACAACAACATTAACATTTTACTCACCTAATGTCCATGCAAAGTAGTATTTGGGTCTGGCAGACAAAAGAGAGAGATACAGGTAGATAACTTTTGATGGCCATGAAGCTGTAGCCTGAAAATGCTCATCAATGTTATACTCCACAGAAAATATTTTAGAAAGAGCCAAATGGAATAACAAGGCAAGTCCACAGATTTTTAGCTTCTCAATGACTGCCACCTGAAAAGTAAACACAAGACTTCATAAACTTAATCTAATTTCCTTAACATTCAGTTTCAATATTACAGACATATTTACTTCCTCTCTAAACAGTACAAACCTTGTCTAGTCAAAAATTTAAAAAGCATATTGACCTACAACCAGGAGAAAATAAAATGACCTTTTAGGAATCAAGTCCCTGTGCACATTAAAAATTTTCTCTAACAGGGAAAAAAGGAAACTCAGATTGGGGGAAAAATATTTGGCAATGACGTATCTGATAAGGTAATTATATTTAAAATTTACTGAATACTCTAGTGCCTCCACAAGGAAAAGGTAAACACTCCAATCACAAAATGGGCACAGGATAATAAACAGACACTTCACGAAAGAAAACATTTAGATGGCAAATAAGCACAAGAAGAAATATTAAAAATCAACTGTGAGATAGCATCTTACTCCAGCAGCAATTGCAACGTTCAACAGGCCAGCAAGCAACAAATGCTCGTGAGGTTATGGAGTTATTAGAACTCTCATTCACTGCTGGTGGGAATCTAAAATGGTATAGCCACTATGGAAGGTGGTCTGGTGCTTTCTCAAAAAATTGAAAAATTGACCCAGCAGTTCTACAACTAGGAATACACCCTAAAGAAACCAGAGCCGTGACTCAAACAAATTTATGTACACCCATGTTTACTGTTGTTATTCACAATAACAAAGACAGGAAAGCAACCCAAGTGCCCATCAACAAATAGACAGAAAAACTATGGTACATTCACACAATGGAATATTATGCAGCACTAAAAATAATGGAACTCACAGAACATTACACATTACCAGGGAAGCACAGAAGACATTATGCTGAATGAAATATCTCAGTAACAAAAGGATAAATATAGAATAACACTGCTGTTATAGAAAGGACAGAAATGGAGGCGTTAGGGAGAGAATGGGAAAAGAATGGATAACGAACACTGCATTAGATTAGATGAGGGGAAGAACTGTCTGAAAGGAATATGTGATTAGGCATTATATGTATGACAACAGTCTGAAACAAGGAGAGCACTGTGAGGAGGGTTAGGAGGGGAAGAAAATGTGCAACTATTTTCATCTTTAAAAAAAAGTACAGAGTTCAGTATTTAAACTCTTCCCCAGGCACACACACACAGAATAAAGATTATATGTGCAATCTACCTATGAGCTGTAGTTCAATTCAGAACTTTTAAGAAATAACAAAAAATTCTAACAGCAAATACAAGCATTTGGGGATTGGGGGTGTGAAAACATGGGAATACCAGAATTCTTTTTACTTAGTCTTATATAAGGTTTCTGCCTTAGAGAAGTTTCCGTATTACCACTCCTCTATTGTCAGGGACCTCTCCAGAGTACTGAAGAGCAATGATATCTGTCTAGATACTAATGGTCTTGACAATTACTTGCTATATGTTAGAGAGGTGGACAATGACTAAAGATGATAGAACAATTGATGCCTTTGAGTTGTGGTGTTAAGTACTGGATATCATTGATTATTAGAAGATTGATTACACGTTTGTCTAGGCTCCTCCTTGGAGGCAAGGCTTTTGAAGCTTTGTTTTATATAGTTTGGGCATGCTGCAAGGAGAGACCAGTCCTTAGAAAGGGATATCATGTTTGGAAGGGTAGAGGGACAGTGTAAGAGAGGAAGACCCTGGATGAGATGGACTGCCTCAGTGACTAGGGTAATAGTAATAGGTGTGTCAGAAACAATGAAGTTGACTTAAGATAGAGCAGTGTTCAGAGCTGTTGTACATAGGGTGGCTATGAGTTGCAAGCAACTCAACAAAAAATAACAACATTATTCATCTCATTGGGAAATATCTGACAAGTCTCTGCCTTTTACAAGTTCCTGGTAAGGATAAAACACAGGTACATTCACACAAAGCAAATATGTATCTATAAAAGGGACTCACAAAAAATTTTATAATTTTTGGTAGTTGACTGTATATGTCCGTCCATTGACATATTTTCCAATTTCTAGGAATTTTGTCGACATTACTACTACAATAAACCCTTGCACCTTTCTTTAATCTGAGAATTCTGGAACACAATTTTGGTCAAAATGACAAAACAGAAAGACCTAAACATTTGAAGAGATTCACAGATGTTCATAGAGGTCTCTTGATGCAAAGAAATGCCATTACTTATAAAACAGTACCTTAAGATACCTTTAGGGTTTTAAGTACCTTATAAAACCCCAATTTATGTTATTTTTCTATTTTCAACAGGTCAGACTATTTCACCTTTATGCATTATAAAGGAAATTAAATATAAGCGCAGGAGAAACAGAAAAGTAGAAGAAACATCTGGACCCAGATGAGAGAAGCCAACAATAGCTGGATATGAGTACTATACAAAGAGCCCTGGTGGCATACTGTTTGAGATGATAATCAAAAAGGTATGAGGCTCAAATCAACCAGCATTTACTCAGGAGAAAGAGGAGGTATTTTGCTTCTGTTGAGAATGATAGCCTCACAAATATTATGGAGTATTTGGTAATGACATATCAGATAAGGGACTTATATCCAGAATTTATAAAATACTTGAGCACCACAACAAGACAAAGGTAAATAATCCAATAGAAAAATGGGCACAGGATAGGAACAGACACTTCACCGAAGAAGGCATTCAGATGGCTAACAAGCACAAGAAGAAATGTTCAAAATCCCTAGCTCTAAGAGAGATGCAAATTCAAACAAGTACGAGATATCATCTCACCCCAGTCAGAATAGCAAAATTTAACAGAACAGCAAGCTACAAATGCTGGTGAGGTTGTGGCGAAATTGGAACCCTTATTCACTGTTGGTGGGAGTGTAAAATGGTGCAACCACTGTGGAAGGCGGTATGGAGCTTTCTCAAAAAGTTGCAAATAAGAGATACCATTTGACCCAGCAATTCCACGACTGGGAATATATCCCAAAGAGACCATAACTGACATCCAAGCAGATACATGCACATGCATGCTTATCAAAAAGCAAGGAGTTGGAAACAACCTAAATGCCCATCAACAAACGAATGGATAGAGAAGCTGTGGTATATTCACACAATGGAATACTATGCTGCATTGAAAAACAAGGAACTCATGCAATAGTATTCAAAATGGGTGACTCTGGAGGACATTATGCTGAGTGAAGTATCTCAGTCACAAAAGGACAAATACTGCATGATGCCACTGTTGTAAAACAGGACTGACCTTGGGGTTGGGGAGAGACTGAGAAAGATGGGTTCAATAATGTATACTGCATTGAAACAGATGAGGGAGAAAACTGTTTAAAAGGGATATGTGATTAGGTATTTTTGTCACGACAGGAGTCTAGAGTGAAGGCTACATGGTGGAGTGGACCTGGGAGAGGGTTTCTAAAACAATGAAAGATCCGTCTTTTACTTTTCCAAGAGGGTAGGGTACTGGGGGGGGAGGGGGTTGGAGGGGAGAAAAGTGCAACAATGAAGGAATGTAAATTTTTACTGAAATTAATAAGAAATTTTTTAAAAATAGGTAGTTAAATGAGAAACTTAAAAGCATTATTATTTTTAAATAAGAGTTATAAAAAACTGAAATAAATCTCATGATCTTACATTTGGAGATGGCTCTGTTCTTTCATCCTGTGCTTCTTTTTTTCCATCTTCACTTGTTTTTGACACCTGGTATGATCTGCCTTCAATGAAAGTAATGTAGTCTTTGTAAGAGCAGAGTGGGCCCGCCAGGATACCCATGAAGTTACAGTTGTAACTTAAATACTCCAAAAGGCTTGGCATGCGCCTGCAATTAAAAAACTTGTAAGATGCAATGTAACTTTTCAGAAAATAAAGACTAATCATCTTTTACCATTTAAAAAACCAAAAACCAACCCTCCAGAAAAGCTTTAATTTTCACACAAAAATAAGTTATTTATCAGGATATAGCTTCTGTAAAAAAGATTTTCCATATAGATCTTTATGAGTAATTACAAAATGTTTTAGAGTTTTCATGATGAAACCAATATAAGAGCAAGACATGACATGGAAAATCATCTCTTAATAGTAAATCATTTGACAATTATATATTGAATGCTAACTGTATGTTTGGTGTGCTCTAGGGTCTGTGGATACAGCAGTATACGAAACAAAAATTTGGAATTGATGGAGCTTACATTACAATTAAAAGCAACATAAAATATCTTTTCAGAGATATTAATTTCTATACGAAAAAGCAAAATATTGAGAAAAATTAGGAGAGAAGTATTATATTAAAAATCAGGGAAGGCTTTTCTGTAAGGTGACACTGGAGTAGCAACGAGAATGATATGAGAGAGCGAGTCATGTGAATATGAGACAAGCATTCCAGGCAGAGGAAGAAATGAGTATAAAATCCCTGAACAGCAGCAATACTAGAATAAGGAGGCTGTTGTGGCTAGAACAAAACATTACAGAGAGGAAATGTAAGGTCACATAAAGCCATATAAGCCATGGCTAAAACTTCAGGTATTACTCAAAATAAGATGAAAAACTATAAAGACATTATGCCTGGAAATATATAGAGTTTCCATGAAAGAGAAGACTCTCAAGGAAATGGTTTGATACAGTGACTGCAACAATGGGCCTGAGCATGGTGGAGATTGTAAGAATGGGATAGGAAATGACAAGGTTTGAGTATGTTGTTTACAGAATCACCAAGACATACATTCTCGATTCAAAGGTACTTAACCCCATTATTTTAACAGAATCCCTGTAGCTCTTGTGTGAGAATGGGGAATGGTGGCAGTAGAAGACCACTCCTTTAATAATATAGTTAGGGAATGAGCACAGTGGTAAAGGAAGTGTTTGGCATTTATTCTGGCAGTTCAGCTAGTGGGGTAGGCTAATGAAATGGATGTGGAACATGAGACAAAAAGGAGTCAAGGATGTCTTACAACATTTTAAATTTGCTTGTTTTGATATCTGTGCAAGTGGCTTAATAGTAGCTAAAGCTAATGCAAGTAACTGGCTTTAAATAAAGGCTGATAACAAAGGAGACTATTAAAATATTCTAATTTTCAATTTTAGTAACTGGGTGTGGAAAAAGCTGGTAATAAAGGAGACTATTTGCATCACCAGATACCTAAATTAAAAATGGACATTTCTTTACTTATTTTTCTTAATACCAGATCCATCTATTAAGTCTACCACCCTTGTCAACTATAAATGTTCATGAACAAAAAGACTACCTGAGGACAGTATGCATGCTTCTCTAAGTTAGAATTCCTTCTTTCTCACTAAATATGGCTTTTTTCCATGAACATAAATATTTAATACTTTAAAAGTTTAAAAATTTCTCATCTAATTATCAACCCATTTTTCCCCCAAATATGCAGCAATTGACAAATGATCATGATTAACAAATATATTGTCTAAATCATTCATGCAAAATTTTAGTTTAATAAAGCAAGATGGCACATAACAAAGACAAAATATGAACACAGTCATATAAACATACAATTATATTAGCCAATTATTAAAGAGAAAGCACTGATGAGGTAATCCATAGCATGGTACACTTCTAACCCAAAAGCTACCCCTCCTCTAGAGGTTCAAATCCACAACTTTACAATAAAAAGATGAGGTATATCTTTAAAAAGAAATAAAATACATGTACTATATATTATTTTTATAAAATAGAGAAAAACAGTGTAAGATTATTTTAGGTTACCACTAGTAAAAAGGCCTTTAAAATTTTTTCAGAATTATTTTTGTACCTTTAAAAATGTCTTGGCTAGAAAGTATTTTTTTAAGGCTCAAAACTGCTAAGAGCAAATATATCTGGCAGATTTACTCTTTCAGTTCTTGATATTTAGTATTGGATTGGAATGCTTTCTCACCAAATAAAATACCATCGTAAGTGCCTTACAATCACAAAGTTACAAAAGAACTTTTGGCCCTCAAACAACAGAGCTCTAATTTCAGTACCAATTTATTTCAAGAACTAAAACAATTTCTGAAAATTAACAAGTAATCTAAGCACCATTCCCTCTCCAACTCAAACAACTATGTATCATAATCTGCAAGGACAGGCGCTCACTGTCCTCAAACATGAAATCTGCTGACTCAATTCTGCAAACTCTGGCTCAATTCTCTTATCAAACTGCCAGTCATATTATGTACTGAAATAGAGAACTATTAAATTGTAAAGAAAATATAATTGTAATATTTTCATATTTAATGCCATATCAAAGCACGGCAATGAATGATTCATTTGATTATTTGTTCATATTTATTTATTTTGTAATAACTGACTTGATGGTACATAACAAGAAATATTGTTTTAATCAAGGTTTTTATATTTTAGCATTACTGATGTTCTGGGTAGTAATTTTTCCCCCCAGGGGGAAAGTTCAATTGTGTGTAATGTAGGATATTTACCAACCTCTTTAGCCTCTAGCCACTAGATGTCAGTAGTAAACTCCCTTCCCCTAAGTTGTGATAATAAAAAATGTCTTTAAAACAGGCTCTATTACTCCTAGTTTTGAGCCATTGTGAAGGGAATGGGAATGGGAATATGATTATAAACAAGACAAAACTTGTCTTCATGTAGCTTCAGAAAATAGGTTTGAGGAGAAAAAAAAGGGATAATTAAAATAGATATATAATACGCAATATTGTTGTTGTTGTGTACCAAAGTGTCTGAACCGACCCACTGCTGATCATCCAGTGGGTTTTCAGAGGCAGTTAGTTGCCCACCCTTCTCCCATGGAGCAGCTGGTGTCCTTGAACCACGGGCCTTCAGGACTGCAGCACAGTTTCTTACCACTAGGCCATCAGAGATCCCTTAGGCAATTATTAGGAAGGAAATTAGACAAAGGAGATAAAGAGGCAGCAGAGACAGGAGTCTCTCTATTTTTTATAAAGTGAGATAGTACTTTCGATAAAATGGTCTGTATAAAATAATAAGGACTGTATAGAATAAGGGAGGGAGAGTGGCAGATCTGTAGGCCATATTATTTTACTCTAAATACATGTTGTCGTTGCTTTGTGCCACTGAGTCATAACTGACTCCTGGCTGATTCTCCAGTGGGCTTTCAGAGGCAGTAAACTGCAAAAGGGATTGCCTATCTTCTTCCCACGAAGCAGCTGGTGGAGTCGAACCATGTGCGTTTGGGATGAGAGTGCCGCTCTATACCACTAGGTCACCATAACTCCCTATGAAAAACTCCCATTAGAAACTGCACTGTAATCCCAAAGGCATGTGGTTTGAATCTACTAACTGCTCTGCGGGAGGATGGACAGTCTCCTCTCAGGTTATTTACTGTCTCTGAAAACATGCTGGGCAGTCAGCTATGGGTCAGTTTTGACTCAATTGTATACATCAACAACATAGTATTACAGAAATTAAAAGAATCTTCTGGCTATTAGGTAAAGAGAAGACTATAAAGGACATTAGAGAAAATAAAGACATGAGATTAAAAAAAGTGATCATAGTTGTACTAAGCAAAAAATGGTTGATTGAAGAGATAATGTAAAAGAACTGTTCTTCTAAAGGCCCTAGTTTTAAATTTGGGGTAACAAAAATTACTTTTATTAACAAAATGGAAGGTTTTTCCACTGAGTTTTATTCCACTTCTTAGGATTTTACTGTATGTTTTGTTGTGTTGTTGTTGTGTAGTGTCAGAACCGACCCACAGCTGACCTTCCAGTGGGTTTTTAGAGGCAGTTAACTGCTTGGGAGAATGCCCACCAAACTCTGTACCTTTGGGATTGCAGCGCAGCTTCTTGTCACTAGACCACAAGAGTTACTTTAAAAAAGGTAGTTGACTTTAACTAGGTGTGATATTTTGCCAGGTAGCTATATGTCAAGGGAGCTCTGGTGGCCTAGTGGCAAGATGCTGCACTGCAATCCCAGAGTAGAGAGGTTCAAATCCACCAGATGCTGTGCTGGAGAAGGAGGGGGCAATCTTCTGTACCAGTCAGATCTGATTTGACGGTACACGTTAAAAATAAATAAACAAAAAAAACAAACAAACAAACAAAAAAAATAAATAAACAAACAAATAAATAAAAGTCTGCTGTTAGGGACCTCTCTAAAGTACTCAAGAGCAACTGTGTCTCTCTGGAGACTAAGGTGTGCCTGATACAGGCCATGGTCTTTGCAATCACTTGTTATGTATCAGAGAGTTGGACAATGACTAGGGAGGCTAGA